GCGAGAAGGAGGACCAGAAAGGGTAAGGAACTTGTCCAAGGGCACCGAGCCCAAATGAGCCAGATTCCAGAACCTGTGCCTGGGAGCGCTGTGTGTGCAACCCAAGTGTCCTCCTGTCTAAACCTCTACACTGAGGGTGGAGGGGCAGTTTCAGTGACCTCTGGAAACACTCCCAGGCTCCTCCTTTGCTGAAAGCATGAGGCCAACGCCCGACTTCCTTCTCTGACCTCCCCCCTGGCCTCTGGCCCTCCTTTCTCAGAACCCATGTGACGCCCTGGTTCCCCCTGAGCACCTTCCCCTCCCCACACTGGGGCAGTCACCCTTACAGGACAAGCAGCTCAGGACTCAATTTATGTATTTATCTTTGTTTTCTTTTTAATGGCTTCGAGTAAAGTCTAAAATACTTTGTGGGGGTAGAGGGCAGGGGGAGTCTTTATCAGGATGGGAAAAAGAGCCCAGCGAAGATGAGAACAGGCAGCTTTCTGGGGTATTAACCCTCCTGTGAGCTCTGAAACGGTACAGAACGTGCCTATGTTAATAGAATTTCAGAACTGGAAGCAGAATCTAGAGCTAAACTGGGTTCAAATCCTGGGTTCTTCATTTCTTAGCTGTGTGACCACGGGCAAGTTGCTTAACCTTTCTGTGCCTTGGTTCAAATAGGGGATTATAATAGTACAGGCTTCACCATGTTGTTGTCGTGATATTATTACTATTATTAACTCTTCATTGTTATTGTCTTTTTAGAGCTCATGGGAGTCGCTGCAGAGCCCGAATGTCGTGGCTGAGAACCCAGAGGCTAAGGCCAGACTGCCTGCATGTAAATCCCATTTCACCAGTTAAAGCTGTGTGACCTTGGTTAAGAAATTGACTTCTCTGGGCCTCCATCTCTTTGCTTGCCAATATTTCCTGCAGCTTAAAGATGGTATATGAGACTCAACTGGACCAATGGCATTCAAGGCCTGGACTGATGCTACCCCGTGGGTTCCCCACGGGGACAGGCTGCCTAACAGTAAAGCTAAGCCTGGGGAAGCAGAAAAAGGAGCTGCCGAGAGACAGTCATGATGACTTGGTTTTAGCCCCAAAGTTTAGCAACTTTGCCTAAAGCAAGTCATCTTTGGATTTCCCAGTTCTATGAGCCAGTAAATTCCCCAGTTTGTGAAAGCCACTTGAAGTTGGATTTTTCTCAGTGGAAAGTATCCAGGCTGCCACCAGGGGGTTAAGCAACGTGCCCAAGGCCTGAAAGCTAGTGAGGAGCCAGCCCAGGATTTAGAGGCTTCTAACCCGCTGAGCCTGTTGTGTATTTGGGGGTTTACCCTCTCTTTTCGCATCTGACAAACGGGACAGCACCTGACCTGCAGGACAGGGAAAATGCTGGACAACATTGTCATCCAGTGCTGTCTTGGCTGTAGGTAGAAGGCTTTGTGCCTCGAGTTCCCAGTGCTTTGCCCTTTGGCTTGGCCCTGGTCCACTATTTCATCTTAGGGGCATCTTTGGCTGACCCCAAAGCAGCCAACTAGTCGAGCTGCCCGAACTATGTTAGGAGAGCATGTGTGAATCACCGAGGGAAGGGCCCCTCCCCTCCCCTCCCTGGCTATGCGTCCTCTGTGGTGGACAGAGGGAGCTGAGTGACCCTGAGGACCCTTCAGCTCTGGGTCTCTTAGGTGGAAAGAAGCCCTGTCCTCTCAGGTTCTCAAACTCCCCAAGGACTCATGTAGCTTAAGGAAGATGGCATTGAACCAAGTCGACTTAGTTCCTTTCCTCCAGGCCGTCTACATTTAGTGGTGGAGACAGACGATAAACACTTGAAACAAATATGTAACATAATGCCATGTGGTAACACTAGGGGAGAAAACGCGACACCAAGTGCCTGATAAGTGTGAAGAAGGAAAAGGGATAGAGTGACGGGCACCATTTATCAGGAGGCATCAGAAGGGGCCTCTCTGAGGACTCGGCATTTCATCAGAGACCAACTTGGTTTCACCCTGGATCCCGAGCTCTTAACACTGAGCCATCTGCCAGGAAAAAGACCAGGACCGATTTTACCAGGCAACTTGCTGACACTGCTCAGTTAGGAGTCGATGATCCCCGGGAAACAGCCATCCTTCTCCACTGACAACTCTGCAGGACATTTAAAAAAGTTTAATGGGTCATTGATTCCCTCCATTAGCTAAATCTGTGAAGGAAAGGCCAGAGCACCCGGCTGACATCATGCCTGCCAGGAAAAGGTTTCAGCTCTCATGACACATGGCCATTTGTTTATTTTCTAACCAGTCATCACTAAAAGATTCCCATCACCGCTGTCATATCTCTGGGGCATACCAGGGCCGGGCTGGTCCAAGGCCCGGCCTTGGCAGGGAATCGGTGAGCCTCACAGATGAGAGGAAGCCTCAGAAAGGTGTGCAGGACTCCAGCACCCTGGGCCCCTCCACCCCACTGAATATCAGACAAGAAGTTCAGGGAGATTAAACGGAGGGTAGAGGGGGATACAGACAAGAACACTGTGTAAAGATGGAGACGGAGGTGGGAGTGATGCTGCCATAAGCCAAGCAACGGTGAGCCACCAGGAGAAGAGGTGAGGAAGGTTCTCCCCTGGAGCCTTCAGAGGGATGTGGCCCTGTACCCCCTGGATTTCGGACTTCTGGCCTCCAGGACTGTTCTGAAATAAATTTGTTGTCATAAGCCACCAAATTTGTGGCCAGTTGTTACGGCACCTTTAGGAAACTCACACAGCCATTAAACAGCCCAAACATGGACCCCACTTCAGACTGCCACAGCCCCCCTCTCCTTTATCAAGTTCTTGTGCATGGCTTTGGCCCCACTCAAAGGCCACTCCAGTCACTGGGTGACACTCCCTGCAGGCATGAGGGCCACTTGGGCTCCACCTGGGCATTTGATTTATTTACTTATTTAACTCAGCCCACAGGGACAGGAATGCACCAGCCCTGCTCTCTCTTTCCCCGAGTTCTGTGAGTACCAGACCAACTAGCACTCAAATCAGTGAGGGCAGGAAGAGTATACCAGTGCCTGGAGACTGAGTCATTTAAATCGACTAACTCTTCAATTAGGCAGCCTCCAATTGTGGGATTCCCAAACTTTTCACCGCAATGAGCATCTTTTGTTAATTTCTTCCACGGAACACTCAGTTTCTAAAGGCACTGCCAATGAAACCAGCTACATTTGTTCAATAAGAATTCATGCACCTCCCCACTTGCTATTATTTGGAGGTATGTAATAATTAGGGCTAATATTTACTGATCCACTCACTGTAGTACTATACTCATTCAATCTTCACACCACCCCTATGGAGTACCCCCTGGTACTTCTATTATCCTAATTTTACAAAGGAGGGAACAGAGGAAGAGAAAGTTACTTATTTCACTAAAGGTTGCATAGCTAGTGTTTAGTAGAACTGGAATTTGGACCCAGGCAGCCTGGCTCCAAAGCAAACATTCCTTTGGAGACTGGATTAGAATCCTGGCTGTCACATCAATGTACAATGCTACTCTGGACAAGTGCTTTTGTATCTCTGCACCTAGGTTTCCTCATCCATAAACTTTATAATAGTAGTGCCTATGTTGTAGGATTACTGTGGGGATTGAGAGTGTGTACATGGAATGCCAGGCACAGTGCCTGCCACAAGCATTCAAGGAATTAATTCAACCAGCAAGGCCAGCAGCTGCTCTGGACAGGCTAGGGCTGAAAACAGGGAACAGAGATGATTCAGTCCTCTGGGTCAGGGGTGTCAAACATCCTCACCAGGCCCACATCAGCCTTGAGGTTGCCTTCGAAGGGCTGAATGTAATTTTAGGACCGTATGCATGTAACGACTCCTTTAACTGTTAAGGAGCTGAAATTACATTTCGCCCTTTGAAGGCAACAGCAAGGCTGATGTGGTCCCCCCTGAAGATGAGTTTGATACACCCTGCTCTAGGTTCTCTGATGCCATGCCGTTCACAATCCATAATGTGCCAGGCCAGAGCTGGGTGGCTTCAAGTAGAACCCGCAGGAAGGCAACCTGACTAGCCCTTCTCATATGTGGTTCCAGGATTGTTAAGTGTACAATTAGCTGGGGGTTGCCGGTAAAAAGCACAGATTCTTGGTATTCAAATCCTTTGGAGTTGGACCAAGGAATCTGCATCATTCGACACACTAACGCACCATGGAATTTGTGCTCCACAGAGTCCAGTCTAAACATGTCCTTGATCCTTTGAAGGGACCTCTCCAGCCAGGACTCCAATCCATTCATTTGAGGCACGTTTAATTGGCGACCCCAAACAGAAGTCTTGCATTTCAGTACAAGGACAGTACAGAGAGTAGGGTGCCTTCCTCAGAAGCCTCGTGAATCATGAAGCTCTAACTTCCATGAAAAAAAATGGGCAGCCCTGGCTGGTGTGGCTCGGGGTGGCTCAGTAGATTGGTCTGGCCTGCGAACCAAAGGATCTAAAGTCGCATTCCGAGTCAGGGCACATGCCTGGGATGCAGACCAGGTCCCTGGTAGGGGACCTACCAACCATACATTGATGTTTCTCTCCCTCTTTCTCCCTCCCCCTAAAAATAAATAAAATCTTTAAAATAAATGAGCAGACATTTGGCCAGAGGCGGGAGGCAGCAGGAAATGGAGTATGCTTCTCAGGCCCATTCTCCAGCTTGGAGCACTGAGGCCGGGGTCCCGGAGCTGCAGGAAACATACGACTACTTCAAGGCCACCCTGTGACTCAACGGGCCCCCTGGAGGTTTGATCTCACGATCCACGGAGGCCGTACAAACCCACGGGCTATGGGCGGGGCTCCCACGGTCGCCTAGGCAACGGGCGAGCGGCACGCCCAAACCCCGAGTCCGGTACCGGAGAAGGGAGCGAGCACTGCAAGCGTCTCGCGGGGCTGAGGCCGCTTCCCTTGGTACCTCTCCCTAGCTCCGCCCCGAGGAAGTGCTGGCTGACGTGCTCGACCACTGATTGGCCCTCACGCCTGAGGGGCGGAGCCCGAGGTAGCGCGGTGCGTACTTCCGGCTGCCGGGTTGACATGAAGAAGCAGCGGCTAGGGCGGCGGTAGCGGCGGGAGTCGAGTCTAGCAGCGGGACTCCCGGCTGAGTGCGCGACGCGGCCTAGAGCGGCAGACGGCGCAGAGGGCAGAGGAGGAGGCGCAGCAGCCGCCCTGGCCCGTCATGGAGATGGAAAAGGAGTTCGAGCAGATCGACAAGGCCGGGAGTTGGGCGGCCATTTACCAGGTGCGGGAGCGCCCGGGAGCGCGCAGGCCCTTTGCTTAGGCCGCGTGAACCTACCCCTCAAAGCCCGGGGCCCCGTTCACTCTCTGGGTCTCGACCTCCGCCTCAGCCCTGCTGCTTGAGGATTCGATCCGACGGCCGCCGAGGCTGCCCCCCAGCTCCGCGTCTCTTTGTCCCTCGGGTGGGCCTGCGTCTCTCCCCGACCTCACAATCCCCTTTGATCCCCCACTTCCCTCACATCCTCCAGCCCGGTGACCTCTCACGCCCGGCGGCCGTCGGTCTGTGCTCTCAGCGCGAATCCCTCGCACCCCGGCCCCGCCCCCCTTCCTAGCCACTCTTTGTCCCCTGGGGTTGGTCGAACACCCCCACCACTTCCTTTTCTAGACTGGACCACCTCAGGCTCTCTTCCTTTGTCTCCCGGGGGGAAGGGTTGCTCCCCTCCCTCTTTCACATTTCCTTTCCCCCCAGCCTCCGCGCGCGGCGGGAGTCCCCAGGATGACAGCCCCCTTCCCCCTTCCTGTTCATTCATTTAATGGACGGGGATCGACTTGCCGGTTCCGAGCTAGGCACTGCTTAGGCGCTGGAGGTGGTGTTTCTCGAACGAGACAGACAAGCCTTTATCCCGCGTGGAGCTTAGAGTCGAATAGGGCGGTCAAACACACAAGCAGATAATGTCAGATAGTGTCAGGTGCTGTGAAGAAAACAAAACCCTCCAACGGGAGGTGGGCAGCCTCGGGGAAGCGGGTCAAGGAAGGTCTGTCGGAGGGAGACGGTCGCTCTACGAGCTGAATGAGGAGCTGCCGCTAGCCACGGCAGTATCAGGCCGGAGATCCTCCCAGCCCCGAGGCCCGGAGTGCCCACTTCACTGGGGCCAAAGTGCTACCCTTTCTGGCAGGGACCAGGCGACATTGACATTTTTACCCTCTCTGAAATAGCACCCTTCCCCGATGAGCATCTTCTCCTCCGGGCTGAAATGATGGGTCCTTCCCAGCCTTCATCTGCGGCGAGGGTTATTATCATCGGTGGGTCACAAAGAAAATTTAGGAAGGTTTCTGAGATACCTCTCAAACCTCAGGTTCAAAACCCGAAGCCCCGAAGCGGTCTGCCTTCCCAGACAGCTAGATCCTCTCAAGAAAATATGTGCTCCTGATTAAATGTCAGTGTGGGGGTTGTGAGGATTAGTCAAAACCACACTCGGTATTTTCAATAAACGATGCACAGAATAGATTTTGTTACTAGTGTAAAGGGAGAAGGTAGTTGATTCTGTTACCAGCTTATAGGCTCAAAGGCAAATTGGGAGATCCATCAGCTGGTAGTATTAAAATCTATTTTGAGCTCCACTTAAAAAAGAAAAAACGCTTTGAGCAATTCTTTGGTATGCTCCACTAACAAAAGCCTTTTTTTTTTGGCAGCTTGGTTTCCTGTGCATTTGCATCCAGCTTCTTTGACAGGATTCTTTTCACTCAGACTATAATGTGTATTCGTTATTGATAGACTAATATTTATAGCCACTATGGTCTTATTAGAATGATTGGTAAATGTATTAAATTTGTATCCCACGTCTAGTCTACCTGAAGTAATTGAATGAATTCTCCTAGTGACTTTGAGGATGTGTAGATATGGTGTCTACGTCAGAGTGAATGCAGTGGAGTCTGGCGTGGCTGTCAATGGAAAACTTGCCCTGAAATGCTGGATGTTGTGGTTTACAATATACAAGTAGAACAGGCCCCCAGAAGGCGCCGGGGAAGATCTGTATTCCAAAACTGAGTCAGCAACAAATACATATTCTAAAAAGTTCTTGGTTGAATTTGATTTCTTACCGTTTTAGGCCAGAGCTTGGAGCATGTTGGTCTTTCATTTTCCTCATTGTTCTTAAGTGTCCCTACAGCATTTGAACTCCAAGACTTAGTCAGGATTGCTGTGTGTTGAGATTCCCTGAGCTAACAGACTGCCAGGATCCTGCAGGTGACTTCTTTTGACCTTGGAGAGTTGTCCATTGTGGGCTTTCTCACCTCTACAGTACAGGCATTTTTCTTTTCTAAAATTGAAATCAGAAGCTCTTCTTTTTGAGTTGGAAAGTGGCTCTTTATTGGGCAGTGTGGCATTTTTAAAAACAGAGTTCCAATGACCTTGAGTTGAAAGTAGCAGACTTTCCAAAGTGTGTGTCAATTTACCGAAATCATTATTTTTCAGGAATTCAAAGAAATGTGTTTCCGGTTGGGAGAAAGTGGAAGTTTAAACAAAACTAGCAATTCACAGGGCGTCACGGTGAGGACAGTCTTATACAAAGTCATTTTGAACTTGCTTAGTCTACTGTGATTAGAAAAATATAATTTCTACTTAAAATTTTGTAAACAAGGCAGTGCAGTTCCTTTCAGACACTAACTTTTGTAACTAGAAAAAAAAAGATGCAAAAGCTTGGCAACAATTGGGAAATGAACAAGGGGTAAAGTAGTCTTGGACACAGGAATATGGTTGTTTAGAAAAGCGAAAGTATTGGGTGAAGATTCTATGCAAACTTAACCTGTGAGCATAACTGTGTTTTTACCTGTTAGCGCTAATCAGTAGCGTAGATACTAATGTGCATATAGGTCTATAAGAAGTCTGCTTTGATGGCACATGTAGACGGCTTTAAAAATTGTTTTCCATCACTGAAACAATTGTATGCCTGATTTGAAAAGTGGAAGTAATACTTAGTGAGCTTAGAGTTTGAGTTGGTCTGACTGTCTAAGAGGAGACACAGCACAGAAAGAGAAAAAGGAGTGGTTTTTGGAGCTGGAATGAGAAGACAGGGCTTGGAAGAATGAAAATAGCTGATAAGCTGCCTTCCACCTATAGTTTAAGGTTTGGGTCAGGTGTTTTGCTCTTTCATCTCTAAATTCTTTGATTCTCCCACACTGTTCACTGCTTTTCATTGTGAATGATTTGATTGTTTCACATCAAGGAGGTTGCGACCGGAGCTTTGGGCTTGAGGCAGGCCCATGTTAGAGGCAGGCTTTGTAAAATGGGCCACTCTTCCAATTGATGTTTGCCTTTATAGCTGCTTTCATTATGCAATACGGTCTAATGCCTGTCTAGGTTAAGACCCAGTTATTCAGTGGTTCACTAACATTTTTCACTTCTATGCACACCTTACGTTGTTTTAGTCCAAGGAGATGAATATTAAAAAATTTCAGTAGCGCTTATTTAAATACCATTCTCTTCAGAGAAAAGCTATATTTTGTGAAGAGGAGACAGATCTATACACTATGACTCACTTCACTTAGAAGAAAAAAAAAGATAAACGGAAATGACATGGAGAGACTGGGAAGTACTAGTCATCTCTAGTGACCCATTAGATCTAAATGTTCTGGTTTAGCCCTGGTTTGAGTGAACTAAATTTAGGTGTCTGATCACCGCTTCGGAAATGGTGTTAAGCCCTTTGTAATTGTCTGGGCTCCTATTAAATTAACTGGGAGCACAAGGAGAAACAGCGGAGGGAACTCTCTGCTATCATCATCAGTTAGTTTGACATCACTGGCATATTTATAGGGATACTTTGTACTTTTGGAAGTACATAAACACAGGCCGGTGGGGGGGGGGGCGGGCAATAGTAATGCATATGGTTTTTAGTTGCCAATGATCTGCTGTTGGGCTCCATGGCCTTCCCACTGCATTTTGCATTTTAGCATGAAGAACTCCGCCCAACCTATAAAAATACCTGGTATTGAATAATGTGGTTGAACATACATTGAATTTCATGAAAGGAATTTCACGATTGGTCGCTGCAGCATCCTTGCTGCCACCCAGGGGTCCAGATTCTCAAACTTTGCCTGTAATACTACAGTCGTCTCTAGTTTCGCACTAGAAGTGAGCGAGACCAGTCTCATATTAATATGGCCCCTGAAAGTCTCTCCGTACCTCCCCCTGTCCCGCCATGGGTATCTTCATGTGATACCTGGTAACTGTGTTAAAAACAGACCTGAGCCTGTCACTCCTCTGTTCAGCTGCTTCCAGTGCTTTCCTAATGCCTGCAAGGTCCAGGTTCCTTAGTATGGCAGCCAGCTTCCAGCCATCCCCTCCGTGTACCTTCTGTTCTAGCCACACTGGAAGGCGCAGCGTTCCTCAGACTCATCCCCCTCTTTCGTCCCTCCACTCCTTGGCTCCACACTGTGTCTGACCTGCCTGCCCTACTCAGACGTGTGCCTCTTCACGCTAAACCTTCACTCTCTCGCCCCTGCGTCTCCATACAGCTTCATGCTTACCCCTTCAGAAGCCCTGCTCTCACAGGAGCTGGTTCTTTAGATCCGGGCCTATGTCCTCCCAGTCCCAGCTTCCTGAGGCCAGTGAGTCTCTTTCTCATTCATCTCAGTGTCCTCTGCACCTGGCACAAAGTAAGTGCCTAACAAATGCTGGCCTTGAATTTGTTGTCAGCACTTCGCCAGGCCCTGACAGTATGAAGACAGACAAGACATGGTTCTCACCTCCCATTCTGCGGGGGGCGGGGGAGGCACAAGGGGGACGAGGGATGATAGTACTAACGGCAGAGGTCCCTCGGAGAAAGCCCCCACACTGTGAGCCATGGCCAGATGTGCCCACTTGGTGACTGGGAAGAAAGGCTCAAGCCTTTCTTACCCAGTAGAAGTTGGTACCACTGGTTCCTTTCACAGGAACTTGAACAACACATTGGTAATTGGTCCGAGGTGAACTTGATGGGAAGTTTGCAGGTGATGTATCTGTCTCTCTAAGAATTGTTGAATTACTCTGTCCTTATCACTCCTGACTTGTTCTCACAAGTCAGGAGGGCTTCGCATATAGTTGGTTTGTAAAATATTCTTTGATTGTGAGATATAAAGTATGGTTTGCTGTAGTGACAGCCGTCCACAGCCTGTGGTTGGTTTCAGAGTGTACATGCTGGAGGCTAACACTCTGGGCCTTTGATCAGACCCCCCCTCAGGCCAGCAGAGTGGTTTAGTCTTTTGCTTTTTCTCTAGTCTTGGCTCTAAATCCAGCAATGCTGAGTG